TTTTTACTCTTTTACTTTTTTACTTTATAATAAACATTAAAAAAAAAAAAAGAAAAAACATTAAGAAGTTATTTATGAAATTTCTATGAAATTACACTTCTTTTGACCCAACTAGATATATTTAAGAGAATAATATTTTTGGATGTATGTGGTACTATTATGTTATAAACGGTAAGCCATTCATTTTTTTAAAGTTGACACTTCTATAGTATTTTCTGTTTAAGTACATATTTTCTCCTCTCATTGTAACATGGGGAATAAAAATTAGCAATAAAATATTTTTAGTCATATCCCTAATGTTCATAACAAAGGAATTTATAATGAACATTAGGGATATGACTAAAAGTATTTATCGTGGTTGGTGGATTGGAGGCACCCCTCCCAATACTAGTCATTAGGGTTCCAAAATTTTTAAAACTAGGTGTTACAAAAAAAAAAGGGCGCTCTAAAATTTCTGGGGTGTGGTGTAACCTAGCCACAGTCTGGTTTTGTCTCTGGCCTATACTATTAGGTACGTGGAAATCGTGTATTACGGAACCAAATTTTGTGCTAAAATTATGTGTCACATTTTTTTAGGTACATCAAACAAGTGTTTTGATTAATTTTTTATTGTTTTTTTTTTAAGTTATTAAGATGCTTTAAGAAGGCCTAACGGCCCCTTACAACGGCCTTATTATAGAGCACTGATGAGCATTTAAACAGGATGTTCACTCAAATATATATATATATATATATATATATATATATATATATATATATAAATTTGTGTGTATGTTTGTGTGTGTGTATATATATATACATATATATATATATATATATATATATATATATATATATATATATATATATATATATATATATATATATATAAATTTGTGTGTATGTTTGTGTGTGTGTATATATATATATATATATATATATATATATATATATATATATATATATATATATATATATATATATATATATATATATATATATATATATATATATATATATATATATATATATATATATATATATATATATATATATATGTATATTATATAATATTAGGTACGCGGAAATTGCGTTTTGCTCTAAAATTTTGTGCACGTTTTTTGAGCTTTTTTTAAGATAGCAATAGACAAATGTTTTGTTGTGGTGTTTCTTTTTAGAAATGTATATAAACATTGACTATTTTTGAAAAGAAGACATGTTCATCTAGATTTTTATGTGACAATTATGTATAAGTGATTAACTTTATATTGATTATAATCAATATAAATTAGGCTTTATTTATTATCTTGTAATTAATTTCATTCTCCTTTTTTAGATATTTTTATAAAAAACAGTTAATGAGTTTAATGGTTTGTTTATATTTGGGAAAGCAGCTAATTTATTTGGTTATACTCGTAAATTTATAATCACAGCGCAAAATAATGTTTATACCAACAGCCTTCATTTAATGTCAAAATACAGCAATAAGTTTATTGATCTAAACAAAATACTTTGAAGGACAGCTGATGATTTTTAAAACCATATATGTAATGCTGTAAATTAAAAAAAAAAACTAAGTATGTTCATTAATGCCAAAGAAAGACCACCTTATGCAACAATTTGTCGTATATCTACCAAATTATGAACCAAAAATTACAAAAAATATAACTTTTATTAAGCTTTTTATTTGAAAATGATCAAATAAAAAGCCAAATGATCTGGATAGGTTGACCTAAAATTTTCAAATCATAGATTAATTACAATTTTTACTTCAAACTATATACTTGTTTCTTTTTTAAATATATATTTTTTTGATTTAGAACGAAAGGAAGAATACGATGGATGAAACTTTGTAACAATATAAAAAAATACTTATATACTTATTTCTCAATTTTAGATTATAAAGTAAATATTTATATTATTAAATATTATTCGTATATAAGGTAAAGAAGGAGGGGGGCTAAGGAAAGTGTTAAACACTCCACCCATTAAGTTAGTGTATGCACCACTCTCTTATATATTTGTTTTATTGTAGCAAAATTTAACTTTTAATTTTCATACGAGTTTCACTTGATTTAATAAACATAAAAGTATAAGAATTAAAGATTTTTTATTCTAGGATGCGTTAAACTCTCGCCACCACATCTATCCACAACTGCAAGATAGAGTGCTTATACTTGCTTTTGGTCTGGAATAAAATAAAAACCATTTTTTTTAAGAATTATTATTCTTTAATGTGCTTCCGCTTAGCATTTTTTTACTCACCTCTCTCATTGTTCTTTATCATTCTCCTTTTCAAAACTGCGCACTTTTAGATGTAATTTCTGGTCAAATTGACAAATAGTCACATGTTTGACCTCGGCATATACTCACGCAATTATTTATTGTGAAATCATTTTTTAATTTTCTCGCCATTCGTTTATGTGCTTCCGTTGAGAATATTTTTCGGACCATGCTATGTTCTCTCTAAACCTTTATTCTCGTAATTCTTTATCAGAATTACTCTATATATAACTGACTTGGATTCTTTTAGTGATTTTATTCGTGAGTGTTTTTAGACAGATGTCTTTCGTCTCTCTCGTTAGACACTCAAATCACCCGGCTTCCGTTGTTAAAGTTATTTTTCAATTAGACTCTAATATTTAAACAATTCAGTTTCTATTCCTCGGTATACTTGTTCTCAATTTTACCCCTAAATATGATCTATTTACTGATGATGACGTATACGCTAGTTTAGATTCAATTAGACAACATTCCTTTCATAGTTTCCAAAAGCTTTCTTTAAAACACTTTTGTAACCTAAAAAAGTCTGTTTAATACTCCTTAAACTATTTAAAAAATGCTTAATTTTTTTATTAATGCTTAAATTTATTTTCCTGTCACCTTTTTTACATCTACTGTGCGGGTTTTTTAAAATTCTTAAGAACATTCTGATTCCTCAAACTCTGTCTAATCAATCTTTACTTTATTATAAGCAAGGTTTTGAGTTTTTATCAAACAAATATTTGACAATCAATATGGATTTCAATCCCTCGTTCTTTAGCTGGGAATATCATGTTAAATAAGTTTTTTTTTTGTTGTCATTGTAGTATTTACGATATATCTTTATTTTATTAATTTATCAATAATGCGCTTGCTTCTAACTTTTGTTATTTGAGTTCTTGACGTGTTAAGTTGGGGTGGAGCTATTTTATTGTAATGATCTCATAGCAGTTGGTACAATTTTTTTTTTCTTTTAGAATTATTTCTTCTGCTGAGTTTAAATTGTTAGGGATTTTCTTATATTAATTTTCTTTACAGCAAAGCGTTTGACAGTTTTGAGATTTGTCATTTTTAACAACAACTTTATGTTTATGAAGTCTTATTAAAAATCTTTAAATGTAAGATGGTGCTTTTGACAGCGGTTTTTGTTGGATATGTTCTAGAGGTTTGTGGTTACTTTGAATTATGACTTGTTGTCCAAAGGTGTATTATTTGAAACATTCACATCCAAAACAATTTAAAAAAAAAACTAAAAGTTCTCTCTCTATTTGGACTTACCTTTGTTCTGGTGTTGTTATTTTGCAAGTATTGCTGATAGGATGACTTTCTTTTGTGGTACAGATTTCTAATCCATTTAAAGATGTACTTACTTTTATCTGAACACCTTTTAATGTATCAAAAGTGAAAGAACAGCAAAGACGTTAAATTTTTTCTTTGACATCAGACGACGTTTAATTTTTTCGTTGACAAATGTAAATCTTTTTTAAGCTGCTAATAAAGTGAAGCTATTGTTCTGACATTTTTGGAGTAAATATATTTTTTTAAAAGTTGTAAATCTGCTTAATATGCAGGTAAAGAGCATGCAAGTATGATTATTTTTTTCGAGATCAATTTCTTCGTGACCAATTGTTGTCAAAATACTTGTACTCAGATATTTGAAATATGCAAAATATGCAAAAAGTTTCTTTCCTTTGTTTGTTACAGCATATTTTAAAAAATTTTGTCATGTTCTGAGTTTAATATAGCTCGAAAAATTAAAGAATCATCAAAAACATTCCGAATGTTATTGAAGTTAAATCATTCTTTGTGTAGCATCAGACGCTTATCAAATATAAACAACAATCAAATTTATATTGACTATAAGGAGTGTTTCGAATTTTTAATTATAAATAACTTTAATGACAATATAAGCCTAGTTATATGTTTCAATAACAGATTTATATGTCTATAACAGTAAACAATTTGTTGCCACAAAATGTACTGGAAATTTCTTTTTGGGATGGAGTGGTTCTGTAAAGTGTTTTGTTCATGCTTGTTTAATTATTTTGGATTAATACATAATCTTAATCCATTATATTCTTACCATTGAACACTCTGCAGATACAGGTTATAACACTCTTAAGGTGCAGGCTATATTTATGATAAAACGATAGCTTTTTCCAATCATAGTGCTTTTCAGCCTCGGTAGGGTGTTGATACTTTCTTTGATAAATGATTTAATGAATTTGCGTTTTTTGAAACTGTGATATGATGCTACCTTTATCTAAACCAAAACCGGTAGTAATAAACCAAAACCGCTTGTAATAACGTTATAATAATGCTTATGTTTGCTATTTTGATTTCAACATCATTAACGTTTAGTATTTCAAGCAATTTGTATGGTAATTAGTGGTTTTGGTTTAAAAAAAATAAAGATTCTCAAAAAATGTCGTAAGTAACCCTCTCGTTAGCGTTCAAAAGATACGGCTACAGCTTACGTTCCAAAGATACGGCTATATAAAGCTAAGAACGTTTTTTTTCTAAAGCTTTACAAAAAAATTCAAAATATAAAAAAAAGCGATCTATAATTTCTTTTAACGTATTCTACTCTTTTCAATCAACTAAAAAGTAATATAAAAAGACCTAAAAGAAAAAACAGCTTTAACCTAAAACACTCTAAAATAGAGGTAACTAGTTACGTAACTTGTTTTAATATTTTAATTGCAACAAAGGTAAGGTCAATTTTTAGATAAAGTTGATAAAATATAAAGCTGCTGAACCTATTTTGTTTCTTTCATCTGCCGATACAACATCTGAGTTTTCATTGACTACGTTAGAACCTAATTCACAATCCACCATAAGAAGTAGTAGCATAATCTTGATGGCAAAAGAGCTGGGTAGTAGCAGTATCTACAAAACAAGGTTTGTATCAATCATCATCAAAAAAAAATGAACAAAAAAAAAAATGACTTTATGTTTTATGGCTATTTTATTGACTAAATTTCTTATTTTTTTAGATTTCGATTAATAAATTAAAGTTTGTACCTTAAACTAAATTTTTATGTCTATATTTCTGTTTATTTAACATGACTGATTTAAAGTCATTATTAAGACATATATAAGTTTAACTTCTTAACTTCAAAACGTATCATTAAACTTAACTGAAAAAAAAAAATTGAAAAAAAAAAACTGTATAAATTCTTAACGTTACTTAAATTTTTTTTATACTTAAGTTTTCTAAAATTACTTAAATTTTTTAAAATAAGAGGTGTCGAAATGTGGACCAATCAGGTTTTTAATTATCAATTAAAAATTTAGACCTACCTTCTAATGCAAAAACATATTAGTTAATAAGTCTCTTAATGAGTTGTACTTTGTTTTGAAATTTTTGTTTATTGCAGAAACCCGTCAATTGAAAACGGCAGCTTTCTGCCGGTATAAGTATAGGTTTGCTCCATAATACTACATTTCTTGAAAACTGAAGTTCCTTGTGGAACTAAGCATCTTATTCTTTTCAGTGATAACCCTTCAGGGCGAAATAAAAGTCATTGTATGGTAAGATTCTTGATGACTCTTTGTGATAGAAGAATATTCAAAACTGTTTGTCTCTTCTTAACAGTCAAGAGTCACTCATTCTTACAATATATTTGAGATTTTGGCTCCACCAAACTTGTGGTGCGAAGCAGGACCGCCGAGAGCTGTCACGTTGCCTGGGACAGCAATCCTGATTGGCGCCCTTATTTATCAAATTTTCCAAGCATATTACAGGCTATGAATATTTTTTATGATGAAATCTTCTAGTGGTTTACAAACCAAGCCGCCTGCAACATTGACGTAGTATTGACGATGAGTAGAATAAAAACTTAAATAATAGGTTTGGCCTATATGCGTAGACAATATGTTTCATATTATAGTATGTTTTATTTTATATTGTTTGTCTTCAATTATTTTTTTATTTGATGTTCCTCATTTAACTGATGTTTTAACTTTTTTCTTTGATTTTTAATAAGTTTAACCATGAATATGCTTTTTTTATTTACAACCTACAACTGCTTTTTGTTTACAGCCTACAACTTTTTTTCCAACTCCTTTTCAAAGTCAGTATTATAGTCAAAAACTTTTTTTAGATTTTTTTATTTTTCAGGTAAAACGTTTTATTTTATTGCAGAAACCCGTCAAGTAAAAAATTTTTTTATACGTCTTGCATAAAAAAAACAATTTTTAAAACTAACACCAAGCATTATTTTTTTTGCAATGCAATAAAAAAATAATAAGATTTTTTTCTTTCATATTTTTACATTTGATTTTCAGCGTAAGCGGTTCTGAAATTCAAAAGCAAAAATGGAAAACGTTAAAATAGAAAAGTTAAAAAGAACTTTTTAAAGTTTTCTATTTTAATTTTTTCCTATTTTCAATTATAAACAGTATTCCAAGTTTACTTAGGTTTTCAAACATGATGAAATGTTAAGTATATAATTTTACAAAAAACAAAAAACTATTTCCGAAATTAAAAAGGTTGGGGGAGGGTACAAACGCACTAGTTGCCCTCCTATAAATTTTCTTTTAATAGCAGATAATGCTGTATTTGTATTCGTGACAATTCTAGTTTGTATGACATTTTTGTTGCGTTAGTTCGCTAACGCAGCAGCCAGTATGCTTCTTTACTTTGTATATTTAACTAAACGCGTAGCAAGTCTCGCTCTCTTACGCTTCTTTCTTCACCACGAGCTGAGCACTTGGCGCGATCCAAATTTGTGATTGTAATTAACGAGAAGTATCTTCAAGAAATATATATATCAAAGTAATCTTATCTATGTGAATTAATGCTAGAGTCTCTTTCAAACTCTTTAATTTTTAAGTAAGAACTCTAGTTTGAATTTTAATACAAGTTGGCATCATTGTACTACCTAAACTTTTTTAAGTTTGTAGCGTTTTACTTTTTGATATCTATTACTAAAAATAAGAAAAACTAGACTTATTTATCATGCCATAGTTATAGGAAAATCGTTATACTTTCTGAAAATACAAACTATTGAAAATTAAGTTTTTTCTTGACGAAAAATGTTGACGAAAATCTCCTCGATAAAGTATATATTAAGTTGATGAAAATCTCCAAGATAATGCATATGTTAACCCTTGCTTAATCATTTTATGAAAAAGAGTTTTAAGGAAAAATAAATAAGAAAAATATATTTCTTTAAATAGAATCGACAACGTAACTGCAAAAAATATGATATATATAAATATATATCACATTTTTTGCACACACTCACTCACACACACACACACACACACACACACACACACTCACACACACACACACACACACACACACACACACACACACACACACACACACACACACACACACACACACACACACACATATATATATATATATATATATATATATATATATATATATATATATATATATATATATATATATATATATATATATATTACTTTTTTATTTTTATTGAATTTAAATAATCATAAAAGACTTACTGTGAAAGGGTTCATTTCCTTTAAAAATAAGTAATGTTAAAAATATGTCAACGGTTTCTACATATCTTTTTTTAAATATAAAGACGGTTTCTACGTTTTTCAAACATGTGTTGGAGTTAAGTAAATTAGCTAAATTTTTGAAATTGTTATTAGATACAATTGTTTGCTTGTTTATTTTGAATATTATTTGGTAATGCTTGAATGGTTATAAAACGGGTCCGTTTCATAATTCTGCATAACCGATGCGTTTACAAGTTACATAATTCGGCACATTTAGAATAAATATTAGCGCAACGAATATTTATTGAATTATTTTAGGCTCAGATAAATATGCACTTTTACTGTGTAACTTGGGTCAAGTAAAACATTTTGTAAACGTTGAACATTTGCATTTTAAAATACATTCAAATCTATGTACGCTGGAGTTTAACTTAAAACGCCAAATTTTTCTAAGGTTTTAAATAAACTCCCACCATTTTCCGTTGGAAAATTAACATAAACATTTTTTCCTGTACCCATGCTCATATATCCAATGTTTAGGTAGCTTATTTAATTGGATTTTTTTTCTATTAGAGAGCTTTTTATTTGTTCTGACTATGTGCTCAATCATGCAAAAAAAAAGAAAAGTCTACAATGACGGGAGCTTTCTTTACTTAATGACAAAATTATGTCTGCAGCATATCTAAATAACTTTAAGAACTTTAATTTTAGAAAATAAGTATTAAATATTAAATATCAAGTTAAATGAGTTTAGGTTTGTTTTTGCGGGTTTTTTGTTTTAACAATCTTTAAGCTATGATTAGTAACACCTTGATTAGTAAAATAAAAAAATTTAATCTTTAAATCGAGAAAAGTTATATTACGCCAACTATTTTTATCGTGATACCATCTATAGATGGTGTCTTGATAAAAGTACTCATCTTGAGCATATGTTAACAGCATCCAGCTACTGTCTCGAAGAAGACAGCAGCTGGATGCAGTTAACACCTGTAGACTTTCCCTTTAGTATTTACTCTTAGGCAAAGAAAAATGGGGGAAGTAGAAAAATTCTGTTGACCAGCCTTGCATTTCTTCTTTATCTATTAGGCTGGCGTAGATATAAACTTTTGTTACATTATTTTATGACTATGATAACGAATGTTGGATCTTATTGACTTTACTTGTAGATTTATGCCTGTTCCTCCTTGATACTGGCTATACAATTTCTTCTGTTATCTACAAATGCAGATACAGCTCAAAAACTTAATTTAATGGTGATAATCTGAAGCCGGCAGGTAGTAAAGTTTCCGAACTCTGTGGTAGCTTTCAGAGAGGCTGATTCCATACTGCTTAGAGATGGTGTCTCTGTTAGTGCTTTTAGTGTTCATTGTCAAGTTCACATAAAGAGTCATAAGTTACGACTTCAGGATTGAGTTTAATAACTATTATTTTATATGATTTAGTTTAGCACCTCTTTACTTAATCATCTTTGTTCTTTATCATTTTTCTTTTTTTTCAAGATTCCACTTTTTTATATGTAATTTCTGATCTAATTGACCATGCACATTCTTTTTATATCTCTGCTATAAATGTTGTTATCAGTGGACGCTAATGCTCATCACATTGAATGGCTTGGACAAACACCGCTGACCCTGCTGAAACTAAAGTATATAGTTTTTGTATTTCTCATTGTTCTCCTTGATCTCATGATTTGAATTTATTACCTCACCCAAAAATAAAGCAGAACTATTTTCAAAAAACTTTTCCTCTAATTTGAATCTTGAATCTAATGACAACAATGTTCCTTCCATCCCAGTGAAACAAGTTAACCAGTTGTTAGACATCCAAATCACTCCGGTTTTATTGCTAAAGTCATTTCTCAAATAAACTCTTCTGCGGCTTATTGTTCAAAAGTGTTCTTTAGAACTCTCTTAAATTCTGTCTTAATTATTTAAATATTAAAAGTCTGGAGAACATTCTGACCCCTCTAACTATCATCCAATCAGATTTCTTACTATTATTAGCATGATGAGGATTTAAACAAAAAAATTCTAACATCTCATCTTGATTAAAACAAATTACTATCTGACAATCAATTCGGATTTTGTTTTTCTCGTTCTACGGCTGACTTGCTAACTGTTGCGACTAAAAGATTCTATCGAGCTATAATGTATCGATTCTATAATGTTCTTGACATATCTAAAAATTTTGATAAAGTTTGGCATGCTGGTCTTTTTTATAATCTTGATATATCTGGAAAGTTTTTAAAACTATAAAGTTATTTCTTTCTAACCACATTATTATAGTCATCCTTACAGGCCATCGCATTTATATTTAGTTCTATCCTTGGTCCTGTAATGTTTCTTAACTACATTAATGATACTACTGACAATTTTAAATCTAAAGTGGCTTTGAGTGCTGAAGAATCAACTTTTATACTCCAGTTAAAAAAAAAAATGTCTTTTTTTGATTTCTTGAAATAGACAGTCAATCTTAAATTGGATCTCTCTTCTGTAACAGCTTGGGGCATCTGTTCTTCTCATAGCAATATTCGTCTTGCAAAACACCTCATGCAATCAGCTGTGGATTGCATTTGGCACTCGCAAGCATTTCTGTTACATTCAGAGCTTGAAATAGCCATAATTCTTAGACCATTAAAATTGAAAGCTTTACCGGCATTTTATGCATTTTCTGTTTACATCTGTTTTGTGCTGCACTCTTTTTTTAAACGATTTATCGCCAAAGTCAGCGGTTAAGATATTATCGATTGTGAAAAAATAATTTGTAATTTTTTTTATTCGATTTATTATTGATGCTCCTGCATCAAATTAATCGTTGCAAAACTTTAATTTTCGTAGTAATTAAAACTATCTAAAATAAAATCCTCTATCAAATATTCCCCCCCCCCCCCAAAAAAAAAAAAAATTAGCTCGTTTCGAATTTTCTTTTGTAAAAAATTTCAAAGCGCTTTTTTTTATTAGAAATATGTTTGTAATACTTTCTAATCTTTTTTTGTATGTGTTTTTGTTAACTGAATATTCATAGCAATTGCTTATTACTGGTTTTGCTACACATTCGGGAAAAATCGCACTAATTTATTTCTAAAATTAGCAATCTTGCGTACTTGAGGTCTAGTTAATAAGTAGAAAGTTTTACGTTTTTTTTTTTATATTTTAATTATTCTTTGGTTTTTTTAATGCGTTTTCTTGCAATTATCCATTTTTACAACCAGAGAACCGTTATACAAACATTTTTACATATACATAATTATTTTTTTGTGATTAAATACCGCTAAGTTTTTACAGCGACAAAATGAAAATATTTGTACACAAGACGTAGCATATTGAATTTTTTCGAAATTAATGTTAGTAATTAGGGCAAGTGCTGAGAATTACATAAAAATGTCGATTTTTCTTTATATTAATAGTTAATGCTTTAATAGTGAGAGTATGCACTTGATTAGATTGTTGACGGATATTGATCCGAAAATTTGAGGATTTATTTTTCATCGGTGCAAAAAATATTTACCTTTTGATTTCAACTTAAAACAAGACAAAAAACATTGAAAAATTATTGCTTTTATCCCTACAGATCATTATTTGCGGAACTTATACAAAAACAAACAAAAAAACAAATCAAAATAAATAAAAGTTATTTTAAACATTTATATAAATATTTACGATATAGCAATATATAAAATATATATATTTACATATACACACGAAGACAAAAAAATTCTTCTGAAAATAAATTCCAATGTTGTTCATGTATATTAAAAATCTTGCGGAAATATTATATCACGTGAAAACATAGATTGCTAAACCATTTTATTTAGCTTAGCAGAATAACTTATATTGGTATAAAATTATCTACCAATGTAAGTTAACCGGTTTACAATAGTGATGATAATCGTCCATAAAAATACTCAAAACTTGAATAGTAATTGGCTTTCGTCGCCATTTCTTTTTCAATAGCGTGAGATCTTCAGCCATCACTTGTAAGAGTCGTGAGATAGTGCGTCAATCTTCTCATCTGATTCTAAAAACACGCATGCTTGACTCTGAACTTCGGTCATCTTTCTCAAATCTTGAGAGGTAGCGTAACAACCCTGGTCATCATTTCTAAAATTCACACTGAAAAGCAAAATAATTTTCTTAATGTCCATATATACTTTCGATGACAATTTATTACCAATTATATAAAACCTTGGTGACGATGTGTACAGATAATCAGAACTCACAATAATTTTTATGAGGACTTTTAAGTTGCTTGTATGAAGGGATTTTAATTTCATTAGAAACATCATTGAAAAATTTCATTGAATGCAATTTGTGCATTTTAAAACCTTTTCCCCCCTTTAGAGAGTAGATATCTATAGAGAATGACTCGAGGGAAATCAGCTTGCAGACCTCTAGGTTATACAATTAAGAGCATTCGCGGAAGCCTTACAATCGATAATTGAAGGGTCCAATGAAACGAAAGTAACACCCAATTCCTCCAACCACGCTCGACAAGTTAACTCATCATCGAAAGCAAGTAGACTATTGATGTATGCAATTGAAATAGTGGGCCGATACCTACCCAAATCATATAAAAAATAATATTAACAGAAAGAATATTGTAAAAGTATTGTTTTGCGTTAATGTTTTCAACTTAGGTTTATTGGTTTGTTAAACAGTAACACTATTTGTTAAAAATAATATACTTACCGTTTAGTTAGTACCTAGTGATATAAAGAAACAGGCAAAAATATTATAACAATGTGACCAGATATTTGCTAGAGTTTAGAATATTGAATGTAAAATGCAGGATTATCACGAAAACAATAGGTATTGGAAAACTAAGCTTAAGTGAAGAATTTTTTCGAAAAAATAAAAGCATTAGTTTTCAATTCTTAATGTTTACAGTTGTGATAATTCTGCATAACTATACCATAGTTTTCCTGCCGGATCAATTTATATACTTTACCATGAGCATTGTTTATACTCACGTCTTAATAATCCGTTTGAGAGCCAACTTTCGCTCTCTTCCTATAAAAAGGTCCACTAGATAACCAGACATTTTAGGGGCAGTAGAATACAGCTTGAAAAACAAATGATAATTAGAAAGAGCACTAGCGGAACGCAACGCTAAAGCGTGTTGGACAACTTCATCCTTCTTTTGCTCTTTAGTAAGAGAGGCCAAACAAGAATTTAGATCTATGCTACTTTTTGTATAAATATAATAAAGAATATTATAAGCAGTGAATTCTGCTACTTCTCCTAATATGCCTTGTTTATAAAGTGACTTTAAGACCGTTTGACATTGATTGAACTCCTCCCGATCTCCCTAAAATAATTAAGTATAAATAACTTTAATTACCAATATAAATAAATTTAAAAAATAATTTATTAGAATAGCTAGATGCATCAAAACTTTAATTTTTTACCTTTTCCAAAGCGATTCTTGCGTGACATTCATACACTTGCACAGAAAATTCATTTTTGATTCCCTGAACAGTAAGGTCTTGACGAATGGATTTCATTTGTTCGCACGCAAAATGATAATCTTGATTGTCTTTCCAGTGTTGCTTGATATGCTTTAATGATTTCTCCAAGATATATTGCGGACGAACTGTTTCTGGATCAGGAGCCTATAAAAATGACGCATGTTGTCTTACACATATCACAAAACTAAAAATTATCCAAATTTTATATATAACAGGGTTGAACATAATTTTAGACTTAAAAAAAACACTATAAATCAAAGCATGTATCTATAGCAGGATAACTTGCCAGTTAATATTTCTCCTTTTTGGATTGTTTATTCTTGTCAAATTATGTCTAAAATTATATCTATAATTCATTATATACAGACGTGTACACAGGATTTTTAGATGTTTGAGTTTTGACACTAACAGGCATTGTGCAAACTACAAACTTTTGTATATTCATGCTTAAGATAAATGAGAACGTTTGGCATAGAATAGTGGTGATTAAAGCTTCGAAACAAAAACCCTCTAATTTTAGGGCCCACCCAGCCCTTAATGTGGAAGCAAAGAGTTTATAAAATATCTTCTCTACTATTTTTATCTAAACTTATATTTATCACCAAACTTCAAATTTCATGCAATAACTTCTTTATGTTCAGTTTTTATGACCATATTAACCCTCCTAATTTTGAGAGGGCTCCAAACTTTGCAAATTCATAAAAACTGAACACTAAAAAATTATTGCATGAAATTTGAAATTTGTTGATGAATATAAATTTAGAAAAAAATAGTATAGAAAATAATTTAATAACTTGTTGTTCCACATTAAGGGCTGGGTGGACCCGAAAATTTTTTTGTTCCCAACTTCCAATCACAGCGATTCTTTGCAAAACATCCTTATTTGACATGAACATGAACATACGAAAGTTTGGAGTTTGCACAATGCCTGTAAGTGTCAAAACTCAAACATCTAAAAATCCATTGTACACCTCTAATATACCACATAGTAGAAGGTTTTTTTTTAGATTTGAATATTTTTATTATTTTCAAACTTTTTGTATAAAATTAAAATCACTTACTGTTGTTAATCTTAAATAATGCTTTATTAGATCTTGAGAAGTTCCAGTGATATGATAATTAATATCTTCTTCGCCATCTTGAGTAAGCTGAAAAATACAAACAAGTAACAACTCAATAATTAATATTATGTGAATTATACAATAAACATAAATGATATTTTATCTAGCTTGAGAGCACAATTACCGGCTCTGTTGAATAAGTTATTGTTTTTGTTAACGATTTTTCAAATCTTGCAGCACGGTCTTCCTTTTTTTTTGTAACAAATGCATCTTCAGAAACTTGAAATTTAGCTTGGACAGCCATTTGCTTTTTCTTTTTTTTAGCTGGAATTTTTTTACCAATTCTACTTTGAATTTTTTTTGCTTTTATAGGTTCAGTAGAATCATCAGAGCTTCCACTGTTGATTGCACTCCGAGTTCTTTTAGGTGATACACTAAAAGAGCGACTACGAGAACGACTTTTTCCTGTAGAATTACTGCGCCTTGTACTTCGTCGTCTATTAACTTTTTCTTCAAGTCTATAGATTAAAAAAAAAAATTGCAATTTTATATTCAAAAATTGTTAAAAGAATCAGTAGTTAAAGGTAAAAATACTTACTCAAAAAGAGGTTTAGAGCTCCAATTCATAGTCCATGCTGATCCATCATTTAACACTTGACTTATAAAAGCTTTTAATGGTTTTTCAAGTTGATCCTTCATGTACTCACTTGTGCATTTGTTGAAAGACATTCTCACCCACTCTTTCATTGCTACTGGCCATTCTTTAACAGGTCTTTTTTGAGATCTAAAAATTAACTTTTTATATTAGTAACAAATAATTGCTAGTATATAAAAATACAATATAAGAACAAAAAAAATATATATATATTTTTTTTGTATCTATTAAGTTAAACTTTAAAAAATACAAATTAAACCTTTAAATTGATTTCAGTTTAGTACATTTATACTCTAATATAAGTGAAGTTTGTTTAACAATTTATAAATCAAGTACTAACAAATATCTGTTTTAAGCCAGAGTATTGACTTTTTATGTAATGACTTTTAATGTAATTGCCAAATGCTGACATTAATTCCAAGGGTTGCTCAAGTAGCAGCCCTTGGAATTAGGGTTTATATACTTAGGCAGTAGCGCAGTGGTTAGTGCACTTGCCTCAGAAGCTAGAGATCTGTTCTGTGAAGAAGAGATCTGTGGATCAATGCCACCTCTGGGCAAGTTTTATAATATTGGTAAGGAGGGAGGCGTGAACTTTCTTTTTGCTTTTTGCGGCTATCTATGATAAGACTGCAAGGGACTAATTGGGGCACCTAAAATTTAAAAAAATACAATGTTACCCTTTTATCTCATTATGATCATTTTGTTCTTTTATTTCATTTTTACTTCTCTTGACATCTGCTTCACTATTTCCATTAATTTCCTCAAAATCACGTTTTTCGTTAGTTCTAGAATTAACTTTAGCATTATTGGAATCAATTTGTGAAAAACCCTGGTTGGTCCAACCTTTTCCAATTTTAGTACTGAAGACAGATCCATCTTTGTTTAAAACACCTTTAACAAGACAAACATTTAGTAAACTATACAGTAAAAATAACAATAAATATTTCTATATATATATCATATTTCTAACCTTTCTTTTTCCAGATAATTTTACTATTTTTCACAGCATCAGCAAAGGATTTAGGTTTTTCTATATAAGATGTTTCATTGGTTTCTTTACCTGATTTGCTTTCACCTTCACTTACAGGAGTACCACTTTCAAATGAATTATAGTTACTTTCATTCTATCAATCAATAACAAAATGATAACTAATACTGTTTACGTTAATGAAATAAAAAATTTTCACATCCCTATATTCGTATGCTGTTTACTTAATTTTTAATAACGTATACAATAATTATAGATTTATATTACTTCTTGTTAAGATTTATTTGACCCTGATGGATTGCCATATTTCAAGACTATTTAACTGTCTTACCACCAGACTATTAATGCAGGTCTCAAAGCAAAATTATTCCATATGACATGATACAATATATCTCCTAATAATACCATTGGAAAGTAAATTGCAACATTAGCATAATTTAGGTATCATATCGTAAACTATTTAATTTTAAAATTATTTTCAAAAATTATTGGATTGTCTAAAAGATTCTTTCAGTTTTTTGTAATTGGTGTTTTTAGTAATGTTTTTAACTTGTCTGAGTATTCCAAATATAAAACTTATTATATCATTTTATAATATTTACTTTATAGTCAGGGTTAGGGATTTTTTGACTTCATTTTGAAATGTAGAAGATTAAAGTGGACATATTTGGCATATTTTATTTTATCACTTTAAAGAAGGTCAAAAAGCTGCTGAGGGTCAAAAAGCTGCACCATATACAGTACAAAAATTTGTACTGTATATGGTGGTGATGCAGTAACAGAACACACTTGTCAAAATTGGTTTGCAAAGTTTTGTTTTGGAAAAATTTTAGTTTAAGATGCATTACATAGTGGTAGACAAACTAAGAATAATAAAGACAAAGTAAAAGCTTAGATGATTGACATATAAGGGTTTTAAAAAATTGCTGAAAAGCTAAACACATCCAAAACACATGTTGACAATCGCTTGAGAAAACTTGGATAAATGAAAAAGCTTGATGTTTGTATTCCACATGAACTCAAAGAAATTCATTTAATGCATCAATATATTCTATATATTTTTCAAATAGAATCAAAATAATGCTTTTTTAATGGCAATGAAAAATGGATTGTATACTCTAATATTCACTGTTAAAAATCATGGTCTAAACCTGGTGAGCCATTTCAATAACATCAAAATCTGATGTTCAAAAGGTTTTGTTGTGGGTATGGTGATATTATAAGGCAATGATGTAACAAATCAATCAACTCTACTGTATACTGTGAATAATAAACAAAATTAAATGAACCCTTGCAACAAAAAAGGAAATTATAAGGATGTTGTGTTTCACCATGATAATGCATGATCACAAACTTCTTTAATTACTTATCAAAAATTATTGGAAATAGGCTGGAACATACTAACTCATTCATTTTACAGCTCAGATTGTGAAGCATCAGAATACCATCTGTTTATTACAAAATTCTTTAGTTGGAAAAACATTTACACCAGAGGAATAAGTTAAAACATACCTCAAAGAATTTTTTTACTTCAAAAAATCAAAAGTTTTATGAATCAGGCATTATGAAATTACCGGAAAAATGGAAACTCATAATAAAAAAATTTGTTAAAAATTATTATTTATAAAAGACTGTTTAATAGTTAAAAACCAAATGGACTTTCTAGACAACCCAATAATTTCATAAATGTATTAACACATTATGATAATTAAAACCATACAACTATAGAAAAAATAACAAATAAAATCTAAAAATAGTATACAAAAATTTTTTTTAAAACATAGAATAATCTATTGTTTGGTTTGCAACAAAGTACTTTTTTTAAAGAGCAACTGCTTATGTGTTAATTTTATAAATAAGCTTCATTAATCTAAAACAACAATACCCAACCTTTCTGATATAACAACAATACGCAACCTTTTGATAATATTTGTCAAGTTGTGGCAATCCCAACAATAAAATAAGGTTGCTCCTAAATCAATGCACTTTTGCAGCTATTATGTTTAATGACTACTAATATGACTATTATCTGATTATATTTATAAGCACCATATGTTTTAGATACAATTTTTTTTATAATTGATTTATAATAACTTATATACAAAGCATCTTGTTATATGGTTTGTTTAATATTTGCAAAGAAATGAAGTGTCTACTATTGTAAACATTTTATAAAGACTCAAAATTAAAGTTTTGATTGTGTGTGACTACTAATTATATAAGGTAAATTGCACAACGCACACTTAAAATATTGTAAACTTTACAATATTTTAATTGGACATAGTGCAATATACTAAAATTACCACTAGATTTTATATAAGGTAAATTGTACAATGCACACTTAAAATATTGTAAACTTTACAATATTTTAATTGCGCATTGTGCAATGTGCATTACACAATTAAGAGTTACACACAATATAAAAGATTGTGAGTGTAAAAGTGTATTTTAATAAAATGAAGATCTTTGCAATAAAGTTTGAATGACAATTACATTTGATATTAGCGCTATTTACAAAATGTAATAAGAAAAAACAAAGTTTTATTTTTATCAATCTAAAATTTCCATCAAAAATGTTCAGCAAATAAAAAAGACAACGCATAAAAAAGAAATTTTATAAAAAAACCTTTTCTTTATTTTCATCTTGCAAACAAAAGAATATCTATTTACGTAATTTCTCATAACAAACAATAACAAAAATAATTACCGAATTTACTGGGGAAAAACCGAAAAAAAGACAAAACAAAATAATAGCTAAAAAATAGTACATGTTGATTTTTATTTTATATTACCACCACTTGTGATATTTTAATTTTTTGTTTGTTTTGTTATGATTAATTTTATCAAAAAAATGAAAAAACATTATTACAAACTTTAAATGACATCTTATAAAGAGTTTACTTTTTTATAATTTAATAAAATACTTTTTTTTATGGATATAACTATTATTAATGGTGTGGCGGAATAGTGGCACAAAATTATGATTGTTACAAACTTGATTGTTGAAAATGTGAAAGTGGCATTATTGATTGTCCAATAACAAAATAAGGAATTATGTGGCAGGAGAATTTAATGAATATTGTTGAAAATAGAAAAAGAAATATAGTTGCAAAGGAGTTAAATGAATAGTGTCAGAAACAACAAAATAATAATAACTATAAATGTGTGTTTAGAAAATGTCTTATGTCATACTGAAATAGCCTGCTGTGGGGGCTTCAATACACACACAAACTATCTTATAGCTAGCCAGCCTGCTGCTGCAAATGAGTGACGCTACATCGACTGAGGGTTTGGGCTTAGGTGGCAATCTTTTTTTTCATTTTTTCTTTTTTCTTTTTTTCTATGTAAAAGCCGTATAAAGATATAAAGATAAGCAAAACAAGTAACCATTGCTGATCTATATACGCTATAGTAGATATATATATTAATATATTAATTATTTGCAACACTCTCTATTCCATTTTTACTATTTGCAACGCTAATCTAATTTTACCATTTGCAACGCTATTCATTTTTTGTTTTTGACACTATTGGTTTAATTCATTTGCGACACTCTTTTTTTCACTGCATTAAAAAATGTTTATAAAGCGTATGTTTATCTTTTTTTGTCATAAAGCAAGTGAAAGCACAACAGTATATATATTTTAACAAATGATACTTGGAAACTTAAATCTTGGTTTAAAATTTTTTTTTGTGTTTTCAAAATTAAAAAATTATAATTTTTTGCAAAGCTGCAATTTTAAGAAATAATGAAAAGATAAAATAAAATAATAATAATTTTTAATTCAAATATACAAATGTAGAGAAAAAAAAGAAATTTTATTTATGGTAAATGACAATTAAGAAACAAAAAAATTGAAACAAAATTATTTACAATCATCTATGTATACATTATAATTGTAGATATATAATACATAAATTTAACACTTACAATTTTAACTATTTAACAATGCACTTGAGAGTATATTAAAGATAAATAATAAAATATCAAAAAGATAAAAAATACCTCATTTGCATATGCTGAAGGTTGCTGATAAAAATTGTTAGGTTGATAAGGAGGTGGTGGTGGCGGTGGTGGAGGTGGAAAACCAGATCTGTATGGCCTTTCAACTGGCAAAGGTGGTCGGTTGAAAGGTTGACGATAGCTTTGTGGAGGATATATTGGTGGAGGATAGTGAATATTATAACCATTAGGTGGTATTCTAAATTTTTTATATATAAAATACTTAAGTATAACTATTTCTAGCATATTTAATAAAATGATCCTTAAGTGCCGAGACAAATTGTGTTCTTAAATAATTCTTAAAAAAAAGTTATGTTAATTAAACTTTCCAAAACAAATTATTTATCAAAATATTAGCAAAAAACTTTATAATTTTTAATACCATTTTTTTTTCTTCTTGGTAAGTTCTGGCTCTTTAATTTTTTTTTTTTTTTTTTTTAAAGTACTGATCTGATTAAAGAGCTTTTGTAGTTAATAAACGACATCAATACAAAAAAAGCTCTTTCAAATAACTTTAATTTCAGTTCAAGTGTTATGTTTGGGTTTTCCCTTTCGAAATTAATTTTTATGTAAAAAAATTTATAAAACCTTTTATAAAACGTTAATAACCGAAAATAACACAGTCAATAAGTAACATTTTACAATAAGTAACATCTTAGTCTTACTTATATTTAAATTTAAAAATGAAACCAATGTTAGCACTATAAATATAAAATATGTAAATTTAAAAATTATCTTGATATTTGTTAAAAAACTTCTACTAATAAAATATTAAAACTGAAAATATTTTTTTTTGTACAGATTCAGTAAGATATTTTAGCGCAAATAAATTTGATTTCATGGTAAATGAAAATAAAACATTTTAATGGAAATAATAATAAAAAAAAAAAGTAGAAGAGCAATGATCTTTGTTTATTTACAATTTCAAAAGTCTCCATTTGAACTAAAATCCACTTAATGTCGTGCAAACCCTTTTTAGAGGGTAAAACACAATCTAATTGTGTAATTGTGTAAATTATTTAAAAAACACTGCTGTAAATACATTTTTTATTCAAACTGGATATTTTTACAACGGAAAAAACTATGCAGACTTTTGAAATTAATATTAGGCTCTCAACCAGAAGTATAATGGCAAAAAAACTTGTAAAATATAAGTAATCAATGTTATAAAAAAAAAACACTTAAACATTTGAATGACAATTATGTAAAAAATATTGTTACAAAATTTTGAATGACAATTAGGTTCTATATGAGCTCTATTTAAAAATAAATTCAGATAAATAAAAAATTAAATAAAATTTAATTTCTATTAACTTTTTTATTGAAATATTTTGAAATAGAAAACAAATTTTTTCAATTAAAAAAAAAAAAAACTATAAAAGAAATATTTACAATTAAAAAAATATATATATATTTATTATCTTGCAAGCAAAAGAATATTTTAGACAACTTTTTATGGTAGTTAAAAAGAAGTTATTTAAAATTTATTTCAACAATGAAAAAATAAACAACATTAAAAAATAGTACATGTAACATTTTGTTTTATATTAGTGCCTGGTAAATGTTTTTTAAAACAACACAACAAAAAATTATTAGTTACAAAGTCTCTATTGCAAATTTAAGAAATTATAATTTAAAATTTTAAAATTTTTTATTTATACAAATGTTCAGAAAAGAAAGAAATTAGTTTATATAAAATTTTTGAAAATGTAATATTAAATTTAATAACTTAATAATAAAAATATTAAATAAAAATTCCATAATATATTTCCATAATAATTTCTACATTTTTTTTGTTGAGTTATAATTTCAATTGAACATGTTTTGTAGTAATTTTTATTGAAATATTTTGTTGACATATTATGTAATATATTTAATAATATTATAATTATAATACAATAATATTATGGTAAGTTAATGTCCCTTAAAAAACGGGCATATATAATGACATTAAATATACATTACACTAATGCGCTAAGCAATTTTCATTTAAAACAAGACTGTTACATCACTAACTAGAAAAAGTCACAATCATGCTTTTTAATTCATTACCATTTATTCAGCAAATAAATGTATGTAACTTATAAATGCAGTTTACCACTAAATTGCATAGAAAAACTACAATGCCACTCCAACCTCGAATTTTAAGAATATATTTTCTATTGTGTGCTTTCCTATGCAAGAAAAGGATATGTAGATAATAAAATTTTTCGAAGTTACAATATTTCTCTTTTAAAGTTATAATAATTGAATTTATTCCTTATTTTCTTTAGTACAAGCACAATCGCACATTTTTACTATCTTATCTTTACCAATCTTATTTTCTTTAGTACAAGCACAACCACACATTTTTACTTTATCACTTTTCTCTTTGTTCTATATTGCTCCTCTTAATCTTAAGACTGCACTCTTTTCAATGTTATTTCTGATAAAATTGACCAAGCCCTTTCTCTTTATCTTTCAGCCAAGATTCTTGTTGCTGGTGATTTTATTGCTCATCACACTAAATATCTTGGTTCTAATATCAGTAATTTTGCAGGTGTTGAGGCCTTGTCTAACTACCGTTCCATTAGCCTTCTTTTTATCATAAGCAAGGGTTTTGATCTTTAAGATTATTGAACCCTTCTTTTCCAATCATAGTATAAAGGTTATCCTTGATAGACAGCACTTTTCATGTAACTTCAGACGTTCCTCAAAGTTTTATCTTTGGCCCTATACTTATTTTAATTAATATTACTGATCTCATACTTATTTTAATTAAGATTACTGATCTGATCTGTGGCATTGTTGGTAATGATACTACCATTTTTGGCAATGATACTACCATTTTTGGCAATGATACTACCATTTATTCTTATCTTGATAAGAAGTGAACACTCTCTGATTAGTTGGAGGGGGCAATAAGCTTGAAAAGGATCTCACTTCACCTACAGCATGGGGCTCTAAGTGGCTGGTGAACTTTAAGTCAGATAAAACTCAACTTTTTCAGCTAATTGTTATTGCAACAATCTAGATCTTCCTATATTTATGAATGGAGTACTGTTGGCATATCTGGAGTGGATCTTCAAAAGATGCCCTTTCTGTTTTAGACAAGGTGCAAAAACACATTGTAAACATAGTTAGAAATGCTCTTGCAGCTAACCTTTAACCATTGTTACGTTACCATAATTTCACTTTCTCTTTTCTTTAAATACTATAGCAGGCACTGCTCTAAAGAGCTAGGGTGTCTTGTGTCTTCTACTAAAAATTCATTTTTGTGTTACTCATCATTCAATCAAGTCTCATCCTTTGACTGTGACTGTTTTTAAGTGCTCCTAAAATTCTCATTCATGTAAATTTTTTCCTCAAACATCTTGTTTTCCTTATTCATATAATTTGCAATTTTTCAAGTCATCTGTTAATCATCATTTTGCTTTATAAACTTTATTTTTTCTTTTCCAGCAACTTCCAACTACAATAATAGTAGCTTGCAGCCTCGTTGAAAGTTGAGATATTTGAAAAAAAAAATTTTTTTTTTGCTCGAATTAAGATTGTCTCATATTCACTTTCATAACATACCGCATACATCTTTTTTATGGAAACAACTTTCTAAAAATAGTGTCAGAAAATGAAAAAGGTGTAGTTAGGCACCAAACTCATGTCTACACACAGTGAAGAACCTAAACGTGTTTTAGTACTGCTTTATCCGTATGGGCACCCAAAAGTTATTTTAATTTTTAGTTTTTCTTTTGATTTTTTATGAAAAATAGAATAAAAAAAAAAATTAGTTTTAAATCCAGCAGTATATAAATAATTCTCAGTTTAATTTAGCTACCTCATTTTTTCTTCAGGAAAACAAAAAGAATTAAAAAGAAATTGCCTTTTTACATAACTAAGTTACATAATTTGCCTTCGGTTATTACCAGGACATAACTTTAAAAAAAATGAAAGTTGTTAGGAAACTTAATTTTAAAACCATGTTGCAAAATTTTATAACAATGGAATGTATAAAAGATTTGCTTTTTTGAAAGTTAAAGCGCTTTTATATATCCATTCAGCGTAAGGTTAATTTTTGTTTTTGGCAATTAAACTGCTTTTGATAATAAATGAACAAAAGTAAAAAATATCAATCCTTATAACTATCGCACAAGTTTTTAATTGAATGAACTTTTGATCTTTAGCTTGCTATTTTAGTTAACGTGAGGAAAATGAAAAAACGAAGTATAAACTTTTTCAGACAGCTTTTTTTTCCTTTCAATATTCTTTTTAAAATAATAAAAAAAAAGTTTTAATAACTTAATAAAAGTTATATTTAGATCTGTTTAAAATAACCCATAGTAAATGTAATTTATTTATTTAAATGTAATTTTTTAAATTATTCTTAATAATTAAAAAAATATTTTTTTTAAATTGAAGTTTTTAAAAATATAATATGGTTTTTAATCAAAATAATAGAAAATTATGTAAAAATATGTTGACTGTAATTATCTCTTTAATTATCTTTAATTTAAAAGGCACCTTAGAATTACTTTAAAAATTATAACCTTTAGTAATAGTTAAATGAACAGATTTACTAATATTTAAATCAAAATTTTAAATTTTAAATAATAGAAAATAAGTTTATTAAATACTCATGTTTTTATTCAAATAGTTTATTAAATACGTTTATTAAATGCTTATCGAATTTGTTTATTAAATGCTTGTTTTTAATTCAAATACAAGATGTAAAACTATTTTGTTAATTTTACAAATATTACGCGATATAATATGTAAATATATTATGTAATGTAAATATTGATTAAAAATTGTTTAAAATATTTTTAATTATTATTTTTTATTAAATTTACTAAAATATAGTTAACAACTGTTTAAAATACTTTAGAAAAATTTTCAATAATTATTTGCTGATAGCAAGCTGAAATCAATAATTATTTGCTGATAGCAAGCCTTCCCAGGAAAAGCGTGCGGTTTTTTGTCTCGTACGACCACGAAAACGTTTTTTAAGTTAGAGAACATGATCACGGCCGTTTGCGCAAGTTATATTTTATGCATTACTGAAAAACTGTTTTAAATGTAATAACTACATAAGAAATTATAGTAAACTTAAATAGAAAACAATAATAATAGTTTTTAAAATAAAGCGGATATTCAAATATTGTTAAAAATTTCAGGAACTTTCACATATCACTTAAACAACGTTTAAAAAAGTACTTTATAAAAAGTATAGCATTAAAAACATTACGTAAAAATGTGCGTTAATTTTAAAATCAACCAATAAAAAATTTTTATTGCTTAATTTTAAAATTAACGAGCATTTTTACGGTCCATTAGTAACGTTTTTCACAATGCTAAACTTTTAATACGATACGTTTTCATAAAATTGTTTGTCATGTTTTTATAAGTTACTTTAGTTTTAATATTATTTGAACATCCACTTTATTCTTCTAGATATTTTTCTACTTTAACTAAAATTTGGGAATATAATGTTTAGGGCTGTACCGGATTTAATTTTTCCAAATCCGACCAGAGCCAGATTTCTACTAACAGATCCGGCCGGAATCGAAGCCAGACTTTGAAGCAAAACTACAGGAACCAAAATCCTGTACATACCTACTTAGTGCTGAAAATGGTCAACAATGTTGACTATTTAGATCACCAAGTGACAGTTGTTTTCTGTTAAACATCATTTTTATTGTTTAAAAGTTTTATAGCAATTTCTATAGAAATTAATAGTCATTTTATATAAATTCTACAGAGTTTCTATTTCTATAGAAAACAATAGACATTTTATATAAATTCTATAGAGTTTATATAGGCCATATGTTTCAAAAATTTAGAGAAATTATATAGAACTTTTTTTTCTGGGATGTTGTCACTCCGCCACTGTAGTGAATCAGCGTGTCTATATATTTCTGATTCTTCCAGATATTGGCTTAGCTGAGTGTCAATGTCTGTTGGTAATTGTTGTTCATGTGCTGTGCCACAAGCGGGCGTAGACTGAATGTTTTCATCTATGTACATTGCCATTGTAATGATGATAATGTATAAGAATTATCCAGCCGGGATTGTTTTGCTGGATTTTCTTTAGTTTTGCCAATCTTGCTTTTTCACTTGTCAGTGTTGCCTGTAATGAGAAGAGTTTAGTTTGAAATTATGGATCAACCAGTGTCACCACTATATAAAAAGGTTTCTCCTCAATGCCTTTTAACGCTCATCCAATGACTTAATTAGGATTGACTTCACAGTCTTTACACTTGCATTATTGCAGAATATTGTGTCTTCTCTTCAGAATTTTTTTTTTGCGCTGTTGTTTGAAATTAGGCTTAGCTAATTAAATTGTAAAGAAATGTAAATACAGATACCAAAACAAACATGAAGTTCATAGACTATAGAATTACTAAATACATTGATTTGTAAAAATCAAATATTAAGTATACATGTTATCACGGGCAAGAAAGATGTCATAAATATCTGACCAAAATTCAGAAATCCGGCCAAAATCACTGCAGATTTGCTTACATTTTGCCAGAGCCGGATTTGTAAAAATAGCTGGATTTCAGCCGGAGCAGGAGCTGGAGCCGAAATTCGGTACAGCCCTACTAATGTTGCTTGAACAAAGAATGAATTTGAAAAGTTATAAATGGTTATAAAAGTAATAACACTATTATAGTGTTATTACTTTTGTAATGCAGTTAGTGACTAGAGTGTTATTACTTTTGTAATCGTAAGTTTTTTGTTTTATTTTTCATTTTTTCGCTAACAAATTCAAGTTGATTCTCCCCTTAAAAACAAGGAACAGGGTTTTGTATAAACTAAAATTTTGAATACTAGATATTTTTCCAGATTTTGCGTTTTGCATTCGCTTAATTCAACCCTTGTTACATTAAAATTATGCAAATAAATTTTACTAACACATTGCAATTTGTATTTTTGCTATCCTATTAAAAAAAAATTAAGAAAAGGAAAATCATTCTTTTTATTGTAGACTTCAAACTGTTTTGTTTTTTTTTTGCTTCGCCTTATTTAATTTTGTTGCTGAATGTACCTCTAAAGAAACAAAAATAAAAACAGTACACAAATTATTTAAACTATTAATTTGTTTTTATTTTTTTCTATTTCACTCTCTTTTTATTTTGTTAGTTTTGTTTTTTTGTTTTTGAAACTTTTTCAGCATTATTATAAAACTTGCAAACAGTCGTGTTCACGTTTTTTAAAATATTATAATCGCGTGTGGTCATACGAGACGAAAAACCGCACGCTTTTCCTGAGAAGGCTTGGATAGCGTGGTATATGCAACAAAAGTGTTTATTAAAATCTTAAAATAGTTTTCTTTTAACTAAAGTAACATCGTCCACTAGTAAATTCATGTAAAAAATGCCATTAAATCAACACCTTATCATAGGATAAAACTGAACAAGATAAACATAAATGATTATTAAGAATATGATAAATATTGTTGCGGCAGCTGTTGAACTAGTGAGGGGAGGAGAAAATCAAAAACATAATCCCCCCTCTTAACAGTGCTGTAAAAAAAACAGTGTCCCCAAATAAACTCTGGGTTCTTCACTGACACAAGTTATCAGTGTCAGTCAGGCAGTGTTAAACTGGGTGTTTCTTTAATTGCCACAAAACAGTTACGCATTAAATACATATTTTTTATAACCTTATATAGTGTGGGGATTTCCAAATGTTTCTTGATTTTAGAGAACTGTTTTTGATAGACCTCTATTCTAATAAAACTGTTTTTTGCGTATCTAATAACTTTATTTATTTATCAGCTGTCAGAAACACATTTTAAAAAAAAATAATAAAGTAAAAAAAAAACATTCAAAATGATAAACATATCAGAGTTGGAAATCATGAGAAAAGAGATCATTGATCTTTATAAAAGAAAATTCACGGAAACTGAAATTCTTAATCATATAAACAGGATGGCCACTCAAATTTGAAAATGAAATTCCATGATTTTTCCATGACTCTTCATAAACTTTTATGATAACCAGTAAATTACTTAGTACTTGCCATGCACTAAGCATTTTATTTTTATTTGCATTCACTCCCAACAAGGCTGCAAGCAACCACTATTAAGTTGGGAGTTATTAGGAAAAAAAAGAACAGAGTTACAGAGCAAGGAAACGGTTGACAGAAGACTTGAAAAGTTGAAGGTTGTATGAGTCAGGAAAACATGAAGATGGGAGAGAGTTCCAAAAGATTGAAGTGCCTTGGACCTTGTCAAGAAGAGAAAGTGAATCGTTAGAAGAACCAGCCCAAATATGACAACAGTATTCCATACAGGGACGAATAAAAGATTTGTAGAGGTAGAGAACGGAATCAGAAGTAAGGAAATGGCAAGCACAATAAAGCATTTGCAACTTGGTCATTATAAAACATGCAAACCAAAAACTAATTGGTAGAAAGTTCTGAAATCATGACTTTGACTTCTCTGATAATCTATAACTTATAAAAAATGTATTTTTAAAAAAGGACTTAGACATACGAGTACTTTTCTTTGCATCATAAAAACATCACAAGCAGAAAAAAATTTAGATTAATTTCAAAAGTTCCATGAATTTTCCATGACTTTCAAAGAAATTTTTCAAAGAATTCCATGACTTTTTCCATGACCAAATAAAATTTCATGACCTTTCCATGACCAGTGGCCACCTTTATAAAACATCACAAATATGGCTGCAAAATGTTTGAGGTCGGCAAAAAATAGAATTTTTCTATTTTTTGCCGACCTCAAACACTCTTGGGTCTCAAACACTCTTAAAGCCTTTAATAATTCTATTATAATTGTTTTAATTAGAATTTTATAAAAAAAAAAAAACTTATTGAAATTTAAAGCTTTTAGAGGGCCTTACCTCATATTATAAAAACTTTCATGAAAACCATATTGTGGATGAGGTTGAATAAATGGATGTATAGGGATATTTGGGGCATAGTTAAACCATGCATTAGGAGGATAGCCATATGCACCATTTGGGGAAATCATTGGAGGTGGGTTAAGAGAATGCATTAACATATTGTCATTTGTTTCTTTGTTCTCTTCATCTTTTGCTTTCAAACCATCCAGAGCAGCTTTAGCCAATTCCCAAGCGTCTGAAGGTAATTCTGGTGCAATATCCCTGGTGCTTGCAACAACTGGGTCTTCTGTAATGCTGAAAAATACAGAACCACAAATTACTAAATTAATTAATCTAATTATTATCTAATTGACAAAAACTTTTATTATTATTTTTATTATTATTATTATTACTACTACTATTATTATCAACTCTTAATTTACAATTTTAAATATTAGGTGCATTAGCACAAAAAAATTTCAGTTTTTATGCTCTTTTTTGTGTGTGCAAACTTTATTTATTATATTATTAAATATTATTTAAAAATAGCAATAAATAAACAAATAACAAATTTTATATCACTTCTGTTAAGTATACCACTTAAAAGTGGTATACTTAACTTGAGCCAAGCAAGTAGGACTTAAAAGTGGTATACTCATTATGATTATTAAAACTATTTAATTCTAAATATTATTAAATTTCTTTATTTAATTTTGAAGCTTTTTTTGAATGAAATGGGTATTTAATACAACTTATTTAAAAGTCATTAAGTATTAAAGTAGAAATCAGAGATGTGGAGTCCCAAAAAGACTTCAACTTTAAATCTCTACTTTTCCTGTTCTTTAGTGTCCAGAAGTTATAAAAATTTAATTTAATGAGCTTAAAAATCTTTTTTAGCCTGCAGTCATGGATTCTTTGTCATCATTATATATAAAGACTCTGTGTTCAAAATTGCTTGTTCTTCTAAACTAGTATTAAATCATCTTTGCTGTAAAAAAACTTGACTCTTTAAATTTGAAAAAAAAAATTTTGGAGTTAATATTAAATTTTAATGACTAATGCAACAATTTAATTTTGAAAATTAAAATAATTTTAAATTATTTTAAATAATTTTATTTAAAAACTTTTTAAATAAAATTGTTGCATTAGTCATGAAAATTTAATATTAACTCATAATATTTTTTTTAAATTTAAATTTAAATTTTTTTAAAAATTCAATTTTTAAAATTTTATTATCTATATATTTAAATATCTATATTTCATTCAAATTTTAAAATTTTTTTAAAATTCAATTTTTTTTCCTCTTTAAAAGTTGCCTTTCACTGATTTTTAAACTATATATAATTTATAGTTTAAAAATCAGTGAAAGGCAATTTAAAGAGAAAAAAAAATTGAAGAGGAAAACCTGCAATATTTAAGTTTTAAAGCATAAATATCACAGTTTCATATTATAATTAAAGACTTAACCCTTTTATGACGCTTGACCTGTATGACGCTTCATAAAATTTGCATCTAAATGATGAGTGACCCACATGGTGGTGCATAAACAATTTTAAATAATTCAAAACATCTATAGCAATTGGGAAAAACTTTAAAATTATCTTTGAATTGTGAATAGTTTCTTTACTTAATGCTTCAAACCGTTTCTTGATTGCCTTTATATATCGCTCAAAAATCAATTTTTAAAAAATGACGAAGAACAGATTATATTATATTGATATAAATAAAATCATTTGTATTTTTTTCAATGATAGTGGTGGATATTTTTCTCGTTTGATCAGCACTATAAAGGCTTCATTAATTTAATATCAAAAATGATGTTTGTATATTTCCTTTTTATTTGTTTAAGTTTACATAAAGAAACTATATATTTTGGTTAATTTTAACATAATATATTTTGATCACGTAACTAAGATAAACAAAATTTTTTAAAGTTTTTGGATATTCTGAAAGTCAATTCTTAGACGGCAAAATTAATGTCTTGTTTTTAAAATTCTGATTAGTAGTTTTTATTTTATACTCCTTCAATTGATCATTATCCTAGTTCTTTATTTTACGCGCAGTCATGTAGCTGTTTTTAGCTTAGCTTTTCATGTAGCTGTTTTTAGCTTAAAGGGTTAAGCAGTAACCAATGTTTATATGTTTTTCAAATGTAAATTTAGGGGGATTTGAAACATTTAAAATTTTAGATATTAGAGAGTTTTCAATTTAAAATAAATTTATTTTTAGTTTTTAATGCAACCTTAATTGTAGAAATATCTCATGAGTTTTTAATCTCTTGTCACTGACAAAGAAATTTGATAAAAACTAGTTTTTCATACTTTTTAAATACTTTTTCATTATTGCATTTTACAAAGAAAACAACAGAGAATGTTGATACAAAATGTTGAACACCTCCTGAGAACATGCAATTTTAATGATTAAAAATTAGGAAAACACCTAATTTACAAAGGCCAAATTTTGGCTTACATTAAAACAACAAAAAACATATAGCGGTATGACTCAAAATTTATACTATTTTTTCAAAAATTATTAAAAAATTTTAATTGCAAATAAAATTTCGATATAAAATATTATTTTGTTAACTTTTTATTGAAAAAAACAAAATTATGTTATATTTTAAGGAATCTGACATAGAACAAAAATTATTCTAATTGCTTTTAAAATTTCTTATAAAATTTAATTCAAATGAAATTGATAATACCTACTAGTACAAAACAGAAGTTTTACTAAAGTAGGAATCTAAAAGGTAATAATTAATTTTACTCAAAAAAAATTTTTTTTGATAGAAAATTTAGTAGAAAAAAAAATATTGTTCTCCTTCACTTGATCAGAAAAAACTATTTTTATTACTGCTCATACCAAGAAATTTATCTAGTGTTCTTTTAACTTATTGATATTAGAGGCATGTAAATATCAACATCATATTGAGGCTTTGATTAACAAAGGAAAACAATTATACCTTAACACTGTTACTATCAAACTTAACAAAAAATATTGGCAAAAAGAATGCTGTTAGTAGTCATTCAACACACATAGAAAATTACTAGTAAGTAGCTGTAAAATTGATTATTTTATCATACATAAATTTTGTAAAAACATAACAAAATTAAGACAATTTTTTTACTCTTTAACTATTATATATTTTTTGTTATTATTATTATATTAACTATTACAATTTTGTTTTGTTGTTTTAAGGAAATTTTAACAGTTACAATAAGAGCCACAAGGTACATTTGTAAGAAGTTTGAATATTAATACAAAGAAACTCTGTAAATCTTAAAAGCAAAAAATTTTAGAAGATCTTACAAAAAAGAAGCAAAGTCAGAGGGAACAAGATGAGGATTTTGTAGCACCATCATTTAAAGTAACAAAACAGAAAATTAGAAAGATCTCTTGAACTTTCTTGGATTAATCTCTTCAATTTTATACAAATTATATGCAACAAAGGAAAGCAAAAAGCTGCAAGCATCAATAGTAAAAAACAAACACAAAATCTCTTTATGTTTTATGCACTCTAATAAATTAAGTTATTATGTAAATACTGTTGTCTTTTTGTATGAATGTACTGTTGTCTTTTGTCAAACTATGCCTAGAAAAAAATATATAAGCAGCAGAAAGAGAATCCAACAATATTGAATTTGATAGCAACAGTATTAAATTTTATAGCAAAATTTTTTTCTTCTCGAACTTGTAGTATTTTGTTTTAAAAAGCTACAAAATATTGTTTTTTTGTCCACCATTAACCACATCTTAATCAACAAAAGCAATACTTGGATCGATAACACATTATATTACAAGCACATTACATTACAACCTTTAAGAAAACTGCATCTGTAGCTAAAGGTAGATTATAGAGCTATAACACCCAGCTACTTTACATCTTTTCTTACTGCTTTTTATTACACACATGATTTTGTGTACAAGATAATATTCATACCCAAATTAAAAGCAAATTTTTCAAATATGTCCTAATTAAATAAATTTACTGATGATTTTGTAGAACTGTACATAAAACTGTATAACAAGTCTGACTGATACGCTCTTATTTATAGATAACTGGGTGAACAGGGTCGGGACAAAAAAGTTAAGTACATTTCGGTTTAACCCATTTTATTAAAAAAAAAAATTTTTCAAAGAAAAAATAAAAAAAAACATGGAAGTTAATTAACATTTTTTTTAGTAATAGTTTCTTGAGAAATTATTTTTTCAATTAAAAGTCAATGGTTTTCTTTGTTTGGAGAAAGTTATTTCAGTAATATTTAAAATTTATAATTTTGTGTATGTCAAGTTTATCACAGATATATTGACGATATATATCATGTACATTCGTACACTTAATATAGTATTTAAAAAACCTACCACGACATTTTAGCCTACTTCATTTACTTTCGCAGTTTAGTACTGGCTAATTTTTGCAAAATTCAAAGCGAGATTTTATAAACAGATGCATTGTGGGTTAAAATCTTTTTTCTTAGTTTGGACGGTAATATTTTGATAAATCGTATGGTAGTAAATTAATTAATGTTTTTTAATTTTGTTTCTAAATCATTTTGATTTGACTTATGTAAGCACTGATCACAATTGCTATACAAAAATAAATAAAAAGTGGAAAGTTATTTTAAAATGAAAATGGTGGAATAATATTAAAGGTTGAAGCGATAGCAGAGTCTTGTGACTATGTAGCGAAATTTCATCACAGAACACCGCAATTAACGAGAAAATTCACGCCTCCTTCCTACCAATGTCGCTTACCGACATCGAACCTCAAACCTCATTATTCTGATCCAGAACTCTGACGACTGCGCCACGGTTACTTTGAAGTGACGTTTATCTTCTTTTTTTTTTTCTATAAATTTTCAGTTATCTAATTTTTAGTTATCTAAATTAGAAGAAATAGTTATTACCTTGGATTAAAAAGGTAACAACCCCTAATTTTTAAAGGTTCAATTTTAATTGAATATTCAGCTAAATATTTAATGCGTCTTCAAATGCTTGGGTAATTATTATGACCAACGAAACATTATTACTAAATATTACAACCTACGGATGGCTACAGAATTTTTTTTTTATTTTTTTATTTCCAGAATAGTATGTGCAAGGTAAATTTACATCGAATATATTACTGGCAGGACTTCCATAAAATCATACGATCTTATCATGAAGCCCTTTACAATCTATATCACGAGTTAAAATAAATAAATAATTTAACAATAATTTATAATATATGTGAATATATTATATATGTATATATATATATATATATATATATATATATATATATATATTATATATATATATATATATATATATATTTTGAAACTTCTTTAACGACCATACCAGTTGTTTCGAGACATTAGATAGTGGTTCAAAATTTACTAATAAACAGTGTATTTTTTTAAACAAAGTATTTTACATGCATAAACCACGTACTTATTGCACATTTAATGTTTTAATCCAGTTGTACAGCTTGGGGAGGAATGAGCCATTCCTTCACGGGTAGGAGTGAACCGAGGATCACTAATACTTCACGTTAAAAAAGTTTTGACTTTAACGTAAAAACATATTTACGTTTGACTTATATCTTAATATATCGTTAGAAAACTTGTGTGCAACATTACATTTATTTTTACCATATGTTATAATGCCTCGAGTCCAGGGCCGGTCCGTAGTGGGTGCAAAAGTTGCAACACACCAAGGCCCGGGGCCTAATTTAAAAAAATGAAAATTTCGCAAATATATGTAATGAGTTATTTTTATCTTTTTTGTTATCACTGCAAACCAATCAATTGTGTTGGGGGTGACACTTCTCCCTCTCCTTCAAAAAAGGAGCCCCCCCTCATACGAACTTTGCACCGGGGCCCCGTGAAAACCACCGGCCGGCTCTGCTCGAGTCTATAAAAGAACAACTTCAAAAGCAAAAACTACCAGTAAAGATATGAAAGATGTATTACATTTAATCCAAATAAGAAAAAGTATTAGAGAAACTGCGATAACATACAAAATAATGCTTCCTCGGCCAACTTTTCTTGTAATGGCAATGCTGCCTTTTACTTTTTTTTAAAAAGTAAAAGGCAGCATTGCCATTATTTGAGGTTGTATTTGATTAGGGGAGACCGGGGCTAGTTGACTCGGTTTTTACTCTATGAGTTCTGTAGTCCTAACGAAACATTTTTTTGAAAACGTAAAAGTGTAGTTTCAAAGAGTATGAATTTGGGTAACTTATAAAAGTTGTATTCATTTACAAAAAAAATATTGTGGGGCCTTTCTGGGCCCTCAAAAAAAAAAAAAAATTGCGCCAACTTACCCCACCATGGGGTAAGTTGCTTATACTCAAGGGGTAAGTTGACTCGCAATAATAAAAGCTAAAGTTAAAGGTCCTATTTAAGTGTATTTCAATAATATTTTTACCCCGAGCCCCTTTTTTTTAAAGGAATCATAGCAGAAATATACTTTTATCAATATCATCAAACTTTTGGATCAAGTCATTGTAACATTTTAAGCAATAGAAAGTAAATATAATTAAAAAATACAGTGACAAAACAAAACAGTGTTCCCAATTTATGGTTATACAATAAGAATTAAAACTTATATTGTTTTATTACATGAATATTTTTAACTAATGGAGTTTCAAATCGGCTAGCAGCAATTATTGCAAATGAAAAACAAAGATTTTCCGATTATACATGACTCGTGAGCCCAAAGGTGACATTGGGTGCATTCAACCCAAACTTCCCCTGCTTTACTTTTAGAAAACATTCCAACACAAACCAAACAAAAACACTCCTCTACAACAGAGCTATTTGGACAATTCAAACTTTTCTCCATTAAGTGTAAACTTCCTTTACTATTTGATCTTTTACTCATCTTAATATTATCTTCGTTTAACTTTTTTGCTTGTTTTCTCTCTTCAATTGCTAACTTTTTCTTTTTAGCTGATTCTTTCTCTATTTTTAAAACATTCATATTTGGTGAATCTGTTAAAATTGACGTGGTTCTACTTCTTTTATTAGCCCTAACTCTTTTTCTTGGTTCAGCTTTTTTGAATGGTCTTAAATCTTCAGGCGATAGAACTACAGTTGACTCTGTAGATGGACTGTGTTCATCATTACTGCTTGAATATGAAATATCTTGACGTGGTTCTATATCTTTTGAGCAACCAGCATTTAACATGTCATTCTCAGATATTGTAAAGTCAACATCCATTACATTACTTATATTTAGCACTGTACTTTCCACAGCACAGTCTTGTTTCGGAGGTGGTCTATCTGTGGTATAGGCTGGCATAAAATCGTGTTCACCAAAAATGTTAACATTTAGTGGGTAAATTCCTGTTTTTGCAAAACCAGCCTTGATATTATTAGGGGTACATGCTAATGGAAATGAGTTACCCACAATACCTGGTAAACTGTAAATAGACATTGTGGAACCAGGGTGCATTGTCATCCACGCATCGCAAGCTGTGTTTGTGTATTTTTTAAAAGGTCCAAATACACTTCGATCTAGAGGTTGAAGTTTATGGCTGCAATGAGGAGGAAATGAACAAACCGATACCCCATTTTCTTTAAAGTAATCTAAAGCCTCTACTGAAAGATGAGAGTCATGATTGTCTAATAGCAACAAAACAGGTCGTTCTTTTGTACTTCTGGCATATTTGACAAAATGATGGGAAAACTGCAAAAATTGAACTTCAGTCATCCAACCAGATGGGTTTGCAGCGCCTGCACTTCCATCAGGAGCACCATTTAAAAAATAGCTTTTAAATTTCACACGAGGAAATATGAAAAATGGAGGAATTGAATTTCCACTGGCAGAAACAGCAACTGCCACAGTTACTAAATTGCCTCTCTCAGCTGAAGTAACACGCCCAATTTGTTTAAAACCCTTTCTTGCTACAATATGATCTGGAGTTTGAACTGTGGTAATACCAGTTTCATCCATATTCCAAATATCTCCATTTTCCAACTTTAAAGGATTAAGAATAGTTTGTAAATTGTTGTAAAACTTTTGAACATTTGTTGGATTAAAACTGGAAACACGTGCTTGACTTGTTGCCTCAGGTTTTCTTATTGACAGTTTTTTGTGCCTTTTGAGGTAAGCACTGAACCAGTCTTCTCCAGCTGCTTCATTTGCACTCCAATTATGAGGCATTTTTATGCTATTCGCTTTTCCATACTGATAAGCTAGTTTCCTCACTTCCTTAGGAGAAAGTCCATAATAAATATCAGAAGCTTTAGTCACATATTGTTCCAACAGACCTTCTTGTAAATCAGTAAAGACCTAAATGAACAATATCAATATTAAAACAAATAACACTATATATATATATGTGTGTGTGTGTGTGTGTGTGTGTGTGTGTGTGTGTGTGTGTGTGTGTGTGTGTTATATAACACACATATATATATGTGTGTGTGTGTGCATAACACATACTAATATATATTAGTATGTGTTATACACACACACACATTGTATTAGTATGTGTTATAACACATACTAATACACAGTTATAAAATATAACTTATATGTTTTTTAAGATCATTGAGAACTCTATTTGTAAATATATATATATATATATATATATATATATATATATATATATATATATATATATATATATATATATATATATATATATATATAAATATATAAATATATAAATATATATATATATATAAATATATATATATATATATATATAAATATATAAATATATATATATATAAATATATATATATAAATATATATATATATATATATATAAATATATATATATATATATATACATATATATATATATATATATATATATATATATATATATATATATATATATATATATATATATATATATATATATATATATATATATATATATATATATATAATCTTATATATGAGATAATAATTACTATACAAAACATATTAAGTTTATATATATATATGTATATATATATATATATATATATATATATATACATATATATATATATATATATATATATATATATATATATATATATATATATATATAATATATATATATATATATATATATACTGACCTGTCTAGATTTTATGTAACCTGATATTTGCTGACTATGACGTTGTTGCTTTTTGCAGTATCGGGACAAACTTTTTTCAGGGATATTAAAGTCTTTGGCTGTTTTTCGTATAGATTTTCCTTCTAATAAAACAGCATCAACAGCATTTTTTATAACATTTTGAGGAGTTATAGCCCTCTTTGTTTTTCTTTTATAGTTTCGCATGTAATATATGTGATCTATCTAATCGATTTTTAAAAAAATAAATCAAAATTTATAGAAAAAGTTAAAATTTATGTCCAATCGCAACCGGGTTTAGTTGATATATACGGCCAACTTGCCCCGCCAAAATTTTGCCAACTAACCCCGACAGCTATTTGGTCACAAACTCCCCTACCGATCCCTGAAA